CCTCTTTAATTTGCGATCAAAATGGAAGACTTGAAACACTATAGATTGCATTGCAGCGATGGCCAAAAGTTCACGATCTAGCCGAATTTCTATCACTCAGGAAAAAGTCCACCTCAAGACGATCAAAAGATATCAAACTCTTTAGAATCAAACAAGCATCAAGACTACGATGATTGATCATCTCAAATGCCATCACAAGCATCTAAAAAAGTATCCAAGATCTGACAATGGCAAAAGGCCCCCCTCAAAGAGGGATGGTTTCATTATTAGCAAGAAAGGTTTAAGGGGCATTTTGGGTTTATTCTTAAATTCAAGATTTTATTGTAATTTCTTTTAATTTTTTTTAAGCTTAGTTTTGAGCATCCAGCCCTATTCGGTGGGTCTTCTATATAAACAAGCTTAGGTCAATTGTAAAAAGGATGGATCATTCATTAACGAAATAAAGGCATTAAGCTCGTTTCTACTTGTCTTTTGCTCCTAACTCTGGGATCTAGTGCCAAAGAGAGAGAAAACTTTTATGAGAGAGAAACTACCCCTAGCCCTTGCTAGTCAGCAGCTCCATTCCCTCTCTCCCTCTTCTTTCCTTCTTCTTTCCCTTCACTTGTTACTTGCCTTGCACAGTAACCCATGCTAGCGGAGAACGAATGGCCTCATCTATTCCCCCTCACATCTCTAGCGTAGACGGAGCAAGCCTGCGGTACCATATAGCACCCTGCTAATCGACATATGCTCGACCTAATACCTTTCAGAGTCAACCTAAGGATTCCAACCGTCAGATCATCGTTCTAACTTCCTCTTTGTACAGTCAAGTTGAGTTGTGAGAGACGCATACGCTCTCTCCCTCGGTCACTCAGGAGAAGTCTTCCTGAGTTGATAAGTCAAGAGAATTCTAATCTTTCGATTGCTCTGATCACCCGAGCGTATAGCGTTCACAGGGAGAGGGGAATCTTTATCATCTTTCTCCCTTATCCCTTCTTTTCATCAACCAGCCATCATTCGAGCGAACCACTATAGAAGAGTACAACCAAGTTCATATTGTAGTTTTCAGTATGAGAGAACGAAGCAACGAGTTGAAAAGCCTGAGGAGAGTCCATGTCTAAACCGCGATGGTAGACAGTTGGAAGGCTTCGTAATTGTTCCAAGAGGGCAAGCTGCCCAGGTGTGTCCCGAACCCCAAAATGACGAGGTAATCGTCTATCCGCACCCATGTCGTAAAATCTCTCTCTTTGTTGATTCATGTCTGCACATAAGAGAGCACATGTGCAACACGTGCGACTCCACGGTTGTTTGAGAGAGGATTTTTTCCTGCCGTCCGCCCAAAGAAAAATCAGGTCCAACCACATATATGTCATGAGCATTACCTAATCCTTGTTGATGGACCACATGATGGAGCTATTCCCGCTATTTTCGGTTGACATTCCCTATGTGTTGCTTCAAATGTTTCACAATACATACATGAACATTGGAAGCCACCAACAACATACATGTCACATCTGCATCTTCATTTACTTCTATTAAAATATCATTTCCAAGATGCATAATTGTCAAATTGCTAGGGTCGCAACATGCAATAGATGTCACATGGATCTTTAATTGCTCCAATGAGTCACTCCCATTATACAAAGTAGCTTTCACATTCCCACCCTTGTAATACATTCATCCATCATTTAGCCTTCTCTCGAACTACCTACCGTAAAAATATAACAACCTCACTCCACTTGTGGCCATTGTGATAACTCAAATGACGACCTTGTAGAGTTAATGGGAGATAGCCGTACTCAAAGACACCCTGAAGCCAAAATGATGAAGCAAATAAATCCAATGAGCCACTTATCAATATTGCAATTTTCAACGATTCCATACATAGAGCACTTAAATGTAAATAAACCTATAAAATCAGCATCCAAATACCAGAACAAAATTAAATATAGAAAATTTTAGCATCTCCTAATTGTCATAATGCACATAAAATATAGAGATATTGATTCAATCGACTCATAAAACATAGAATAGGCATCTAGATATAAGGATTGGAATGAAAAACATGAAATTGTAGTTACTTATACGTAATACACTCTACTAATGATAAATGTAGCAATTTTGTGTTAAACAAAAAGATTAACCAAACACATATAGAAATCGACACATGAAATTTAAATTCATTTTATGTACCTCATAAATATGTTTCTCCCAACTTCAATGTCTTTGCGATGTCCAAATATGAACCCTAGTAGAAAAGCAGATACCAGTAGAGGGTAAGATTGAGTGAACAAAAAGCAGATACCAGCAGAGAGATAAAAAGTGAGAAAGAAGATAGAGTGACAGTGGAGAACAGAGAGAGAAAAAAAGTAGAGAGCAGGGGAGGCTGTTGAGAGCGAGAGAGAGAGAGAGAGAGAGAGAGAATAAAATTGAGCAAAGAGAGAAATCAGGTCGACGGTATAAGTAAGGCGTTCTAATGTTTTGAACACCCAAATTGCGATGCAAAGAAATTTTATTCATCAATCTCATATTTCCATCCAAAAATCTTTTTCTAAAGGGTGCGGTTTGTATAGAGCCTAGGCTCTAAATAATCAAATTAGAGCCTACCTTCAACTACTGTCAAGAAATGCAGTTTCAACACTGGAATTCTTTGTGATAGCTTTAAAATATATTTTCTTCTTTATTTATAAAGTTTAAAGCTTCAAAAATAGTGTAGATTGACAGATAGAATATACAATATTGTACAGATAGAATATATACAATATCAAAATTGTCAAGCTTTTCATTTTTTTTCTTTTCCCAATATTCTTAAGCAACTTGTTTTATACGAAGATGATAACATTGCATCCATCTCAGACCTTGGTACATTTCCTCACATGTTTCCTCAAATTCACCTCTCCAAAATGACCCAAACAAAATGCAACCCATAATTATTTTTAATCGTAAAGTAGCATATAACTGTAAAATAAATGTAGACAAACAAAGTCACCCAAATTTCAAAGTTTTTTAGCTGTAAAATCACATATTACTAGACAAATTATAGCTTTAAGAAACTTAAAAAAATATAAAAAATGGAAATGAGACAAAGACATCCAATTTTTAGATTACTGTGTTTGATTGGAGATTAGATTTGCCGCACCAACTTGAGATTGCCCAGGATCTTTCAAATTTAGAATCTATCCCTTCTTTGAGTAGCCTACTGTTTTCTCCCAAACAAAGCCCAGAGAGAGAGAGAGAGAGATAGAGAGAGAGAGAGGGAGGAAGGAGGATGTAAAAAGTGAGAGTGAGAGGTTGAAAGGGAGAGCAGAGGGCCGAGAGTAGGTGAGGGTGTATTTGGAGAAAGAGTGAAAGAGAGAGATCGAGAAAAAAAATGAGCGAAGAGAAAACAGTGTCAGGTATAATTAAGGCGGTTCGATGTTTGAAACATCAAGACCGAGGATAGAATTATAAAAGAACACCAACAACTTAACATGATCTTAGGGGAGTTAACGGGAAAGGGTTAACAAGCGGTCAGATGGCAAACTTGTCAAAAAAATATGGGATTCCTTCCTTCTTTATAAGTTTGGCCCAATTTTGAGATATCACATTATAACGGCTTTATTTCTGGTCCGTACATATATTTTCCTTTTATTAATCTCTTTTTAGTCTCTCTAACATTCACTCTCCATTGCTCAACTTCTATAGAATTCTCCCCCACTTTGAGACATTTTATCTCAAAATAGGAAAATTGTTTCATGCGGGCTGGACCACATTTCTAGATATATAGTCCAGAAAATGTAAAACATCAATCTTAAAGTAGGTAGGTATTCCTTCTAAAAAAAAATGGAAACTAATCTTTCTTAAAACAATCGAAACTAACGGTCCAAATGTTTTATTACTATAATTATTATTTATAATTTTTAAAATTTATTTATTTATTCATATTCATCATCTCCATGTTAGAGATTACATATCCGAAAAAATTAAGTCTTAAAATCCATCTATAAAATAGATTTTATAGGATGTCCGCATTTCTACATATGTGGGATTGGCCGCATTTATATCGGGTCCCTCAAAATAACCTCGAGCTTTCTCTCTCTTCGTTGGAGGCGTATGGTCTCCCAGCCGTCGATTTTTCAAGACCCTGTCTCCCAAGTGTCATGGACCGCTAGGACCACTACCCAGCAAAAAAAACAACAAACCAAAATATACCTTTGGATACTGCACGCAAGAAATCCTCTTACTAAACACATGTTGTACCCTGTTGGGCCTGTCTTTATATCGCGTGTCCAAGAAACGTGCCTCTCTGCAAGCTAGCCACGATACGCATGTTTGCAGGTTGGAGATATGGAATGTCTGTTCCAAGAGAAACCACCTATAAATACGTGGAGGTGTCCCTACTTTAGCTCTGGTTTTCTTTTTTCTTTCTCTGTTTGGGAGGAGCCAAGGGTGTTCAAGATGAAGGTCAATTGTGCCTTCTCTCTTTTATGCATTTTTTTTAAGAACTATATTCTGTGTGTGAGAGTGAGAGTGAGATCGTCTGCAGATTTCCTGAAAAAGATTCAAGGCTTTCTTTATTTTCTATAGAGAGCTCATTCCTGAAAAACATTCGAGGTCCCTTTTCCTTTTTCAACATTTTTGCAGTGTGCGTGTTAAACTAAGAGGTAATTTTCGGTTGAGAGGTTTGGAACAATATTATCAAGTTCGTTTTGCTTCGGCCGAGGATGAAGTCTTTGGATTTTTGGCCTCGACAGAAGCAGTGCGAAAATCTTGTCGTTCCGCTAAGGCTCCAGCCTTGTGGAAGTCGAAAGTTTGGAACTTTGGATAATATGGGGTGATGAGTTCTCTTTCAAAGAAAAATTTTGGGCATTTATTTCATGATCGTACTATTTTTTTCTGGCATTCCGCCCTTATTCGGCATTTCAAAATTGAAATTTCATCAGCTTTCCGAGTGGAATAACAAATTTTTTTCGGACTCTTGAAAATGTTCTGAAATCTTTGCGTTACCGAACTATTCAATGCTCCGTCAATATTTCGTGAAGGCCGAAACTTGAGCATTGGACTGTGGATCCAGGTTCCAGAAAGGAGGTCACGTGCCCTGAAGATGAGGGCAAAATGGGAACGAAAAAGTATAAATTGGACCCCGACCAAGCGGCCCCACAAAGACAAAAACAATCCAAGGCATCAGGCATGACTTCATTATAACGGGCCTGTTGTGATACGATCCTAGCATAACGTTCCGTTAATCTCCCGTTATGAATTCCCTTCACCTTGCCGTCATAACATCCATAATAACGATATTTTACATTTATCAAAACAAGCATGTGACGGCGTTGTTAACGGGAAGTCATTGGCTGACGTGGGACGAGAGTTCGACCAGTGTTGTAAGGCCGCCAAAGAGAACCTAAGAATAGAGGAGATGCGTATGATACTAGAAAGCAACGACCAGGATTGTTCGGGTTCCCATATGCGGTTGTTCCAAGATGGTACGTTTGTTACATATAATGTTATATACTTCATGACAAACTCATCGTGACAACCTGCATTGGACAATAGTGATCGAGATGAGCGAGTCACAATGGACGGACGGCTCATACTGTTATGAAAGATGGAGATTACAAGTGCCCTTGTGTATCATCATCACCATCTTTCTGAGGCTTTATCTCAACTATTTGGGGTTTATCTACACCGTCTATTTTTAATATTTAAAATTTTATAATTAGATATAAAAATAGATTTTGAGATGATCTTTAGAACATTTTACCTCAAAATTATATACCATGATAAAATTTGAAGGTGCACCTTATCTCTACACCTATGGATGCATCCATATGCCAACTGCACCCAAAGATAAACGATGCACCCATATGCCAACTGCACCCAAAGATAAACGATCTCTTTGTAGACAATCTTATCGTTAAATGTGGGTATAAGTACCTTTGTCTTCTTGAACTACATGTGTATGATTGCTTCTCACTTATGTATATGGTGCATGCATGTGTCATCCCGTGGGCTGTCTTACCTGTTTTCATAGGCAAATGCATGTTTTTTAATTGCCCTTGAGAGTATAGTGATGTAATATTCACTTAGCGTGCTCCAGCATCAGATTATTGTGGTCCAGCATGTTACAGAGCTGTTGCATACCGGATATTCTGGCATGCAAGATGTTGACTCTCTCATCTAAAAGTAAATAAATAAACGACTTCTCCAACTGACCTCACTGCGGGTTTTTCTCTTCTAATGCTTGTGTTGCTTATGCGTTTTGCTCTAGCATTTGAGATATTTCCTCTTGTTTCATGGGATTATGTATTTTATGTTGATGGAACTGCCCACAGCCCCGTATTTACCTGTTGCTGTTCTGATTCTTTATCAATTTTTGGGTTGAACAGCCATGATCTGATATTTTATGGGCCTGTACAAAGGTGCCCAGTGTGCGGCAACTTCATGGAGTGTACAGGGATCAATTACAAATGCATGGGCACCTACTCGGTGTGGACAACGTGCAATTTCAATACAACGGAGGAACGTAGAAGGGACTACCCTCTTAAATTCCCTGATGAATTAAAGAACAACAAGATTGCAGAAGTGAGTCTCATATTAGTTGTATAGCTACAGTTTGTATAGTATTGTCAATGGGAGCTTGGTGAATTAAGAGAAATTTTTAAGGTTTCAAAGAAGATCCGTGTTAGAGAATTTGGGTACCAATTTTAAGGCGCCTCTATATTTTTGGGGAATGGTAGCTAGTCCATAATTTTCTTGACATTGTAACATCGAGAGCGATTGCATTTTATGTCTGTTAATTGAATTTTAGCAAGTGGAAGTTCTTGAAAGGAGTGTTGTTTGACAAATGTCAATAGAGATTGAGTGCAAGTAACTGAAGGTTCTTGTGGCTTTTACAGTGGTCCAGGAAGCAAGACCTTGGCAGAAGACCACATCGAGAGTTGATGTCATTGGTTAGGCCGTTAGTAGGGATGATGTTCTCTTTGTCCGGTCGGCTTTCTTGCACTCATGTGAGTACTTTAAGCTGGTTTACGAGTCTTATCTTGAGTTGGATTGGACAGTTGGGTTGGTTGACTATTGGAGAATCCGAATGAGCCGTTATTTACTCTCTCCATGTATTTATTCAGGTTTTGATGATGGATATAATAATCCATGCCATGGTGCAAAAGTCGTTTGTGTTTTCTCTGTTTTTAGATTTTTTCATTTGTTTCTTGTGAATTTCAAGTTTGGGAGCTTGCCAAATTAGAACTCCAGTCATGTAGCACCCGCCACCCCGGTCACCTCTGCCTATAACCCATTCTCAATGCATGCTAAGTTGTACAGTTAGGTTGTATCATGGAACTATCTTTTCTTCATGTTTTATATGTTTAGTGAACTGGACTATGTTTAATGAACTGGATGCAAATAAACTTTTGGATCCAAACGAGGAACCCACATGGATCTCAGCATATAGGCTGTTGATTTTCCGTTATGATGCTTATCGGCTCTTCATTTTCTGAGATGTTGAATATCCTGACCTCAGTGGTGATATCAGTTCTAAGTATTAGTAACTTTCCTTTTTCTTTTAATAGGAATATTGGCGACAAAAAATTGAGGATCATGGGGGAAAGGTAGCCAACTCTGTAGCAGGTAAGGCCTTGCACTTGAATGTTAGATGCAAGAAGGGTTTTAATTTGTGGGAAGTCTTTCAATTGAGTACGTAGTAAAATTGTATATCACTCGTAATTTTGATTTTATTCTATGGAAATTATATAGCTGACAGGGATTTTTGTTCTTTTGCCTTAATGTTTTTGGGTATTACCTGCCTAATTGTGTCCCCAGCTGAACGTGAGCGTGGGGGAGCATCCAAAGTGGCTGACGCCATGTATGGTTCTACTTTCTTCATTTTCTGTCTATTTAGTATGTGTTCAGCATGGGATTTGAAACCAAACTCAGCCCTGCCAGATTAATGGATGTAGTATAATAACTTCCTTTCTCTACTTTCTTCATTTTCTCTATGTATATTTAATATATGTGCTCAGCATGGGATTTGAAACCAAACTCAGCCCTGCCAGATTAATGGATGTAGTGTAATAACTTCCTTTCTCTACTTTCTTCATTTTCTCTATGTATATTTAATATATGCATTCAGGGATTTGAAATCAAACTTAGCCCTATTTAGTATATGCGCTCAGCATGGGATTTGAAACCAAACTTAGCCATGCACTATAGCAAGTCACTAATGGATGGTGTATACTCACTTCCTCTCTTGTAGCAACTCTTTGGCGATTAATGTACCTTCAGATGGTTGAAGTTTGAAATTCATTCTCAGCCAATGGAAGTTCGAGTTGAACGTGACCTTGGGAGGGAAATGTCGGGTTTTGCATGATTCAGACGTTCTGTTTTTTGGAACTTTTGCTCATTTAGGGGAACATTTGATCTTAACACCACACTTGATCTTAGCGGCACACGTGCGCAATTTAATGAGTCCCAAAAATGAGTTTTATGTGGCAGGAGAAGAACATCCCAGTGGTGAGCGAGGGGTGGCTGAAGGACAGCATTGGGAAACAGTCTGCCCAACTTCTGGATGCATACGATGTTTTGTCTGACCTTTCACCTGATGGGTGTAGTATAGCTTTGGACAAACAAGATATAAGTGACGAGGCCCTTGAGACCATTTCAGCTGAGGTCTCTCTCTCACTCTCCCTCCCTCCCTCCCTCCCTCCGGCCCTCGTATATAACAGATTTGTTTGGCTAGGCTGGTGTATGGCCTATGCATGTTGTGAATATGAGTAGAGACATAGCCAATTGCTCTCATTTTTCTCCAAAACAGCCAATTGCTCTACTTTCTCTTTAATTTAAAAGAATGTGGACACCCGTACTACAATTTTCTACTTCTAGTTGCTCATTTGTTTTTGTATTGATTTCAGGTCAAGCTCTAGGTAAGAGGTGTGTCTATAAGGACGCTTAAGTTGCGAGAACAAGGTGGAGTGATCTTAGAGAGAGATGGAATCTTGTACAAATGTGCATTTGCTGAATGTGATGAAGCAAGAGAAATAAATGAGTCAGTATCTACCACCAAAAAAAAACACACCTCAAACTGGTTTTACCCGACTCATTTCTGCCAGTTAATGTCTCTTCCTTTTGGCTTGAGAGAAGAATCATAATTGGGAACTTTATTTCTTACGGCTTGAGAGAAAAATCATAATTGGGAATTTTATTTTGTTGCTACATTGGACTTTAATCTGATAATTGGTGATTGGTGGAAATTGGTTTGGATTTGGTAAACTTTATTTTGTTGGTACATTGGACTTTTATCTGATAATTGGTGATTGGTGGAAATTGGTTTGGATTTGGCAGTTAATGCATAATGCAACTGATGAGGTGCCAGAAGACAGCATATATCTTTATTTCAAGAGGTGCAGAATTGAGGATGATAGTATAACTTGAGAAAACAGAAGAAAAGAAGAATGTGGAAGAAGAAATATAGGAGTTTGTACAGCTCTTTGAGAAGATCACAGGTAATGAGTTTGAGCCATGGGAAAGAGAGAAGTTCCAGAAGAAGCCCAAGAAAGTCTATCCCATTGATATGGTAAGCGGAGAAGGAGAAGTGATTTTTATGGATGTTATGATCCTTTTGTTGGAAAGGGAGAATATAATCCGAAGAATTGCACAATAGTATTGGTATAAAGAAATGTTCATAAAAGGTGTCATAGCATGTGCTGGGACTTGATTCAAGTTCAGGCTCAATGTAATGCACATTCCTACTTTTGCACAAGCCTGATTTATTTGTGACATGGCTGTGCTAGCTATTTCCATGTGCATCATGCATGCCTCACATGTTCTAAACCAAGGGTCCAATAGTTTTTTCACTTTTTTATTTGAGATTAGTGCATTATTCAAGCTTCATACTTCTAGCGTTTTGCATTGTGGAAAAATTAAGTGATTTTGTGCAGGATGATGGAGTAGATGTGAGGTATGGGGGATTGGATCCTAGGCAGCTTGGAGTTGCAGTCACCCACTGCCAACTCGACCCTCTTGTTGCTAATCTTATGAAGGTTTTGTGTAGTCGAAAGATTTACCAGTAGGTCCCTCCTCCCTCCCCTCCTCCCTCCCTCCCTCTCATATATTAGAGTTTGCGTTTCAGGTATTGTATGATGGAGATGGGACATGATTCACCAGATCTGCCACTTGGGATGCTCGCTGAAGTCCATATACAAAGATGTGAGTGAACTATTGATCTGTGCTGTTGCCATTTTTAGCTGTCTCCATTTCCTCATGAACATTTTACTCAATTTTTTTTTCCCCGAGCTTGTAATGTGCATTGGGACTCAACCTGCAGTCTTTATGTATTGCTTTTGAAGCATTTTTGCATGTTTGACTTATTTTCTGTACAAATTGTGTAGGTCAGGAGGTTCTCATGGAATTTAGGGAACTGCTGAGGAATGAGAAGGGAACTAGAGCCAAGAAAGATGCATCATGGTCAGATTTTAGCAATACGTGGTTCACAATGTTGCCTTCAACTAGGCCTTTTACTAAATTAGTTTCATCAAAAAGTACCCTTTCTTTCTTTCTTGCTTTAATCTCGTCAAAAATCACAGCCAAAGGCACATTGTAATCTATGCCCATGGCCCCATCATATTATTGACCCTTGCTTTTTCAGCTTCTTCTGTAGCTTTCATCCTTCAGCTACATCTTCAGCAATAGGAGGCATTATAGACAGCACAGGCTGAGGAATGGCATCCAAAGGCAAGGTGCCTTTAGCCTCAATAAGGGCCAGCTCAAGATCAAAAAATTCATCTTCTTCGAGGTGTGTTTTGCATTACCTGAAAATGATTCTCCTAAGCATGCTCGACGACCACAATTACCAATGGATCAACATTTAGAGGGTCAAAACGAACCATGTTTCTGCTAGCTTGACCCTTCAAAGCAACAAGAACATTTAGAGGGTCAAAACGAACCCTGTTTTTGCTAGCTTGACCCTTCAAAGCAACAAGACGTAAAGACAATGGGTACATCTTTAGTTAAAGGGTGAAAGCCAACAAAAACCTCAAAGCTTGCTCAAAATGCCGACAATGGCAACCACCACCTTTCTTGAGAGAGACAAACTAGATGATTATGGAGATAAGCTCAACTATCCACCCCTTTCTACCGTCCTTGGTGGAAAAGATATTAAAAAAATCTTGGAAAGAGGGGAAGAACGCCATGTATGCCTCAGTTTCCTTTTCCAAGGGGAAAACATCATTATCCTCCTGTAGAACTATCATTCCAAATGTCCTCTCAAAGATGTCAAAAAATTTATTATCAATAAGATTTGGTAGGCTCGGTGGTGTATCAACTTTAAGCTGCCCCTCTACTACATCAGACGACACATAAGGGGAATAAGAACTTTCCTACAATAGATATGATTTCCAATCAAATGGTCAGCCAAAGTATCTTTCAATGGAAGTCCTTGTCGCCCTAACGAATCAGATTCTACTACATTTGGCAAGACCAACGATGAATTCAAAAACCTACCAATAGAGATCCTCCATTATTGAATTTTTAAAATTCTGAAATTTTGATGGCAAATTGTTTCTCTAATTCTTTCGGTATTCTTGTTTTCGGTGACTCCTATCGGGAAATGCATCTCCACTAGCGCCATGGACAAATGAAACCTTTTGCCAAACATCTTCCATTTCCATGATCAAGAGACCTTTTCCTTTGTCTGCTAGAACTCAATCTGAATTATTCATAATCTCTCCTTCCACCATAGTGGAAAGCCCAAAAGACTCCTTATCTACCTGCAATCGAATTTTTTTGGGAATCTCGTTGCCCTGCAATCTCCAAATTTTCACTCTAACAAATCTGCAATTTGTCCCTATGAGGGAGTCCTAATCAACATCACAATAATCTCGACTTAGTCTTGCCACTTTCTGGATAATTTTTAAATTCCAAGCATGAAAAGGGATACCCTACATCCTTATTAAAAAAATATCTCATTGCATGAAAGACTCATGAACAGTAAGCTTCCACAAATCTAAGGATATAAGTTTACCTCTTACTCTACTAAAGCTTTAGCAACGTCATCCTTCGACCATAGCATAAAAGCGACCTTATTACATCCTAAAACTTTCACATTCAGAGCATATGTCAAATCTCAACCCCGTTTAGCCCAATCACTCAGACCAAAAGCATTCGATGGGGCGGAGAAGGAACCTACCACACATAGCTTAGTCAGAGATATCAAACCTCCCACCAACGAAGGATCCATAGAAAACAAAGGGAAAGACGATGTAGAAGACACACCACCATCCCTCTCGCTTCCTCTTCCTCCATCCTCTAGGCTGCTCCTAATAAGAGATATCCTGACTGTTAATATGTTTTGCCATAACCCATTTTCAACTCAGTTTTATCTAAAACTTGGTGAATTGATTTGAAAATTCGTTGAAAGATAATTATCCAAACTTCATAGTATTTGGATTCCATTTGAAGGAACATCTAAATTCGAAGCGGTCTATGAAGACTCTATCAATGCGACCGGCAATCAACTTAAAACCCTATAAACGCAACTCAATTTGATGAGAAACTAATCGGATCATTTAGAAATTTCTTAGAAGATAATTGTCTTTAGTTTCATATGGGTTGGGTATCATTTTAGGGTACATTGAAACACATTGTGATCTAGTTATACTAAGAACAATGTTACATGTGAAAATACTTCTGTGAAAGTATTTTGTCACATGAAAAACTCCCTCGTGTGATTAGATCCGAGAGTTTTTTCAAAACAATTGGCTATCAATTGGTGCAAAAAATATGTTGGGAGCAATTGGGGTGAAAAAACTCACATCTAATCAAATGAAAGAGTTTTTTTATATGAAAATACTTTTACTTGAACACGTACCAAACATGCCTTTATGTTAGACGGGAAGTCAATTCAAGATCTCATCAAATCAGTTAAGAATAAGCTAAAACTTGGTGAGGCAGTTAAAGATGGTTTAAGAACCCGATCATCCAAATTTTGAGAGGTTTGGATGACATTTGATTCATATTCCCCGAAGTTATAAGATGAACAGCGAGGCGTCAACTCTAGCAAAGTCCTAGTCCATAACCCTGATGGAAGTCAATGAGGACTCCATTCTTTCAGCTTAATTATTATTTTAAAATTGGCTAAGTTTCTAAATTTCTACAACCTTCGGAAAATACCCCAAAAATAGTTTAATAAACCTTAGGGGCCGTAGTAGCCTAGTGAACCCTTGTTCACTCGCCATAGTCCCTATAGAACCCTTAGAATCTATGTAAATCTACCTAAATCTAGTTATATTTACCCAAACTACCAAATCTGCCAAAATATATCAAGAGTGACCTGATTAATCCAAACTTACCAGGAATAGCAAGAGAGACTCTAAAGATCCAAAAAACTCTAATTCGGACACTTGAAGACATCAGATTTGAATTGGACCACCACTGTTGGATTCAACATTGCGTCAATACCAGTCGTAGAAAAGTCAGCATGAGAAGGCTCAACAATGTGAGGCTCATTGTTGACCTCCAGGGGCTTATCAATGCTCCTCGTGTGGTTATCCCCTTTGGACTCATAATAGTTCTGGATAGTTCCAATTCTTGTGTTGGTCGGGTTATGCTGATAAATATTCTAATCTGGTTTGTTTTCAAGGGGGGTATATTTCCAAAGAGTTTTAGGAGTCCTCGTAGCCCTAGAGTTCCCAATTTGTAGTCAAAAGTCAAACCTAGAGATAAATCATGTAATTCCTTATCCTAGTACAGTTGGAACCAAATTAAAGCCTATATTAACCCTCCCCTAGTATCCTTTAGAACATAACCTATAACCTCATAACTTAAAAACATTTGGCTAGAGAAACCCTAAGAGCCTTAGAATTTGGATCATCCCCAAGCCTTAGACGTTCAAACCTTAGAAATCGTAGGGCATCATGCCTAATTCCCTGCAATTCAACCAGCCATGAAACTATACAATAAGCCTTAGGAAGACATGCCTTAAGCAATCCTAAAGTAAAACGCTTTAGTATGGATATGCCCTTAGCAATCAAAACTCTAGGAAGAAATATGCCCAAGGTATTGCTGAAATTCAAGCAAATCTTTAAGGTTGAGGATAAAGATGCTTCCAACTGCTAATCTATTCGGGCCATCAACTCGAGGCGCCAGGCTTGGGTGACTGATTTCAAAGTAATTTTTCATATTTTCCCCTTTAATTTTCAGTTCATTTTCTTTCTTTTTATGTTCTTTTCTATTTTTCCGAGTTTCTTAATGCTTTAATCGACAGTGTATGAGAAGTTCTATTTCTACATACCTATCTTCCCATATATTGCAATTAGATCGGCCACACTCTTTTCTACCTAGTCTTAAGCAATTCAGTTGAAAACATAAATTAGATAGGATTTCATCTAAGATCTTCCCAGATTTGGCTGTAAATATTTACGAATCAATATGTCAAACAATTATGGACACGCTTTTATTTATGGGCACATGCCATCACTTTCTCGAGACAATTTCAATTCCGACATATACGAACCGATGCATATAAAGGCTCTCCAGGAAAATTAGTTCTCAAGACACAATAGAAATGGAAGATCTAATAGTTTTCCAATTCAAATGCATTCGACTAGCGAGATCTAGAGCACTAGCATTTTCCTCTAGTTTAGATAAAGAAAGTTCACGAAGGAGAGAAACGGTTTAAAAAACTGTCAACGAAAAATTTGAAATCTATCTATAGAGATCTAGAGCTCTAGCAATGTCCTTCGGTCAAGATAAAGAAAGTTCATAGAGGAAAGACAATGGCTTGAAAAACGGTACAAACTGTTTGCGAAAAATTTGATTTCTACATATAGAGAGAGAGAATGCACTTTCAAAAATGTAATTAAAAGATGAAGAGCTCTCAAATTTTAACTACCATAAAAAGGCTTAATACTCACTATTTTCATGAGACTGGATACCAAGTCAGCCACTGCTAAACTCGATCCTCAGTTTCCAATCAATCTCTCTCTCTCTCTC